ATGGTGAGGGAGTGCCGAATACCATTCTTCTTCAGCCACAACCCAAACTCCTTGCTCAGGAACTCTCCCCCTCGATCGGTGCGGATTGACTTGACTAGACGGTCTTGTTGCCGCTCCACCATCGGGAACCAATCCGTCTTCAACGTTTCAGCCACGTCGCTCTTCTTGGCCAGCACATACACCCAAGTCATGCGGGTGTAGACGTCGACAATGGTGAGAAAATACTCAGCTCCAGCAGCTCCAAGCTTCAGGGGGCCCACCACGTCCATCACCACCTCATCAAGCGGTGCCTTAGCCGTCGCCTCCGAACTAGAGAACGGGAATCGGGTGAACTTTGCTTGCATGCACGTCGGGCAGCTAAGTACCTCATTGGGCTCCCCCTTCACACGTATGCCAGCAACCATCTCATTCTTCACTAGCTGCTGCAAGATGGGTATGGCCACATGCCCCATGCGCCGATGCAAGGTGAGCCAATCACACTCCCCCGTAGCCGAAGTTGGATTGGAGAATGCCGCGCTTGCAATAGCGCCCCACATACTCTCTCTGTAGTCCTCCTCCGCTGCTGCCTCGGGGTTCTCCTCACCCTTTTACTGCTCCTTAGCTGCTGCACATCTCTCCATAGGTTTACCAAGCTTGCTGGTCCCTCCAAGATTGCACTTCTTGGACTCCTTCTCCTTAGCGCGACCGTCCGCGCAATCGCCGCTACCAACCGCTCCACCTTTAGTGCTGACGCTTGCTGCCACTTGCCTCTCCTTAGGCATTGGGACCATAGGGATCTGCCACATCTCGTTGTAGACATCTCTGTCCTCATAAAGGTCCCAAAGAACCCGATCGCCAAGCCTTGCGGTGTAGGTCTTGGCTCCCTTCGAGTTAGTGTCCATGCCGGCCTTTGCCAACCGCCGCATGGAAATCAGGTTTGCAGCAAGGCTGGGCACCCAAAGCACGTTCTTGAGGCCCACCATCTTCCCATCAGCACCCTTAAACATGGCCTTCCCCATGCCTTTCACCTCTGCGTGCTGCCCCAAAGCCGATGTGACATGCTTCACCGGTGACGGCTCGAGTTCGGTGAGCAAGTCCGGGCGAGGTGTCATGCTATAGGTAGCGCCACTATCAATCACCCAATAGTCCAAGGGGTGTAGGGTCACCTTCCCCACAGCTGCTGGCTCCTTAAAGCCTTCATCCTTCTCTGGACCAGCCGGTACTTGCGTCGACACGAAGTAGAATAGACCCGGGTATCGATCGTCGCTCGGGTCCTTGTCGTTGCCTCCGTTCTTCATGTTTGCAACTCCGCCACCGCGACCGCCACGGCCTCCACGGCCTCTTTCTCTCCCTCCTCCTGCTCCTCTACCCTCTTGGCCTTGAGCAGGGCTCCAACCATCAGGGAGTTTGTAGCAGTCGCGCCACATGTGTCCGCTCTTGTGGCAATAGTGACACTCGCCATCAAATCGGCCGCGACCACGTCCGTAGCTCTTGTCGTCGCTGCCGTAACCGCCACTCCCGCGGCCTCCGCCAAAGTTGCTGCCACCAAACCTTCTTCCCCCCTCGTCCTCTACCTCTTCCTTGACCATATCCACGGCCGATGCTTGCTGTCCCAGCGCCATCCGCACTCGCCAACTCACGGCGGCGGAAGTCCTCTTGAAGGATAGCTCGCTTTACGTCTTCGAGCGAGAGGCGGGGCAAGTCGCGATTCAGGTTGATGATGAGCGAGGACCATGATTCGGGGAGTAGGGCCAGCAACTTGGTCTTCTTTTGGAGCTCACTATAGCTCAAATCAGCTCCCTCAAGCCGCGTCAACAAGTCGAAGAATTTCTGCACCCCTTCTTCAACCGCTTCATCCTCTTCAATTCGTAACGTCGCCATTTGCCGTTCCAACACCACAGCTACCGCCGCTGTTGCAGGAGCGTGTACACCCTTGAGAGCAGCCCATTCTTTTGGTCCCTTCTCTAGTTCACGCTGGAAAGGCTTGATGTGACGGATTTGGCTGCTCCCCAACGCTTGCCCAAGTAGGAGTTAGCCTTGTGCGCTCTTCCGCACCCACGGGCTCTTCTCCGGGTCGTTCTCGGGATGCTTCTCCGTTCCTTCCATCACCTCCACCAGGTCATAGTGGTCAAATATGTTCTCCATTCTGAAGGACCACTCAGCAAAGTTGTCACCATTGAACTTGTCAAGGCCAAACACTCTAGGCTCATCCCTAGATGGGCCAACACTTGGTTGCACGGGCGCCATGGCTGAGTCACGGGGTTGGCCTTGAGCTTGGACTTCTCCTCTACCACCAGCACCTCTGCCACCCCTTTCCTCATGTCCAGCCATTGTTGAAACTGCTCCGAGGGGCTCTGATACCACTTGTTATAGTCACAGTAGGCTCCAATGTGCATAAAACGAAAGATAGAGTGCACAGTCGGATTTCTGCACAGCGGCTTCAAACGTTCATATCGTTCTGGTCACAAGTTAAAATGACTTGATTCAACTTGGATCTGGAGCGTCTTATTGTCGCCTACAATAGGCAATTTACATCGCACGATTTGACCAAGTATTGACGGCACAGCGCTGGTTTGAACAAACGGCACTATGGCAGCCACTATAGTCTTAGAACACAAGATAGGAAGAGTTTGGAAGAGTTACGAGTTGAGAATGACTCCCAGCTCCTACAAACCCCAAGAGCCGAGGTACAGTGATGTGGAACAGTTCCACACTATCCCCAACCACGAAGGGTCTCGAAACTACCCTTCACTAGGGCCTACACCAAGTGAGATGTTACACTACACAAAGTAATGTAACTATCTTCAATATCTTGAGGTGCACCCTTTTGGCGAGCTTCGAAATCACTCGAGGCCTGACACAAAGGCTCGGGCTCTTCATCACAAACTCATCCTTGGGTTCTTGATGGGTCTTCTGCACACACCTGCGACACGCCGAACGTTCGACAGAGGACAAAATAGAAACCGCGAGCGAGACACAAACGACCGCGTAACACGCGTCTAGCGATATCTCGCTATTGACTCGACACACACACTCGACATCATGACTCAACATTCACACACAATTATAAGCATGAAATATATATTATCCCATGCCCTCATAGCATTCCATACACACGCACATGCACGCACACGGACAACAAGCCGAGTGCAAACCGTAGGGTTGCACCAACAATATGCAGTATAACATTTGTCTCTCGTGACTGAAGTTGTACTACTCCTTGTCGTCGTGTGCGCAGGTTCTGGTTATTGGCGACTGTGATGACGACCTCTCGTTGAAGTCGGTGTTCGCGTTGGGCGAAGCGTCCCGAAGAGCACATGTGCTGTTCGCAGCAACTGTCCAAGAACCATGTGTCTTTCCCAGACGGTTCGCTTTGAGCGATGGCAGCGTACGTCGGGTTCGGTTGAAGTGACTCGCAGCGAGGCGTGCTGTTGTCGAGTTGTTCTTCTGGTGAATAGTATGGTGGTGACTCGGTTGTGCAGGAATCTGTTATCTTTACCATGCAGTTGACGATGTTTCTTGCCTTTTGTGCAGGTTGTCCTGTTGGAGTCGTTGAAGCTTGGACTGAAGTTGTCGGGGTTGCTTGCGTTGAAGTGACTTGGCTGCTTGAAGGTCGGAGTTGTCGCTGTGGTGTTGTCAATTGCTGACGATACGGGCAGTGCGTACGAGGATGCCCTGAAGTCTTGCAGATGTGGCAAAATGGAGGTACTGGCTTCAATTGTTGTTGCTGCCGATTGTTGTTGTAGCGTCTCTGGGTGTGAAACGCGAACTCTGGTACTGACGTTTTCTTCTTATGTCGTTCTTCTTGCAGGTCCATGTCCTGCTGCTCGGCATGGATTTCGGCGTAAAGTGCTGCTTTGGAGATTCTCCCGTGTGCTCGTAGTATGGCGCGAGTGGAGCGCCAGTGAGCTACTGAAGTCCTTCCCGTCGAAAGGTTTTGTCGTTTGTAGTTTTAGAACATGCGCGAATTGCGACTGAACTTGTAATGCGTCCAGTGCTCTTTCTTGTCCTGGTGCAGGTTGTTGTTGTGGCATGAAGCTGACGGAGCCGCGCTGGGGCTCGTACGGAGCGAAGGTATGTTGTTGATGTTGATTCCCGCGTGCGTAGGATGAGCCATCAAGACTCATGGGCGTCACGTTGTTGTTGTTGTTGCTGATGTTTGATTGCGCAGGTACTCCTTGCTGATGCTGCTCGTAGAAGGACATGAAGGAGAAGAATTTCTCCATCATGCTTGGATCAAAGCCCGCGCCTTGGTTTGCGGGTGTTTCCGTAGACCCAACTGCTGGTCTCGTCGTTGTCCCCTCCTCTGTCTGTAGGCCAGAGGCAGGAGGTGGAGTAGGGGTAGTACCGGGAGAGCCGTTGGAGGAGCTCCTCTCCTTTCTAGCAGACATGTCTTCTTGATGTATTGAGTGTTGAAAAAGAGTAACTTTTAACTCTAACTGCTCTCATACCATGTTGGGCTGAAACGCCCTAGGATCTTTTGTAGAGGTAAAGTCTGAGTAAGTGATGTAATAGCGGAAGCGTTGTGAATGAAGTCCTTGAACCACCTTGCGCTAGTATGTGAGGGCAAAGTAAGTTAATTAAAGCAAAGAGATACAGGAATATATATGAGTACAGAGAATATGAAGAGACATTATAATAACTACTTTACTGTTGCGGTTCGATACAGTGCGACTCGGGCAACTGCTCAATGTCGAGTCAGTTGTATGTCCTTGCTGTCGCGCTGCATTTGTCAGGTCAAAGGTTGCTGACCTTTGACTTTCTCGTAACCTCCAGCGGTTACGTTAACCTCCGAGGGTTGACTCGCGGTGCTTCGATTTGAGTTGCTTCGCTTGTGTCTTGGAGTTTCGATACGACAGAGGCGCTTAAACTATTTGTTCCCAACAGCTTTGACTGAGCTAGGGCCCCGATTGTGGTTTACACAACATGTTGTAAAACTGCTTGATGCTGATGTTTTTGGACACAACCAGTGCTGCACTGTTGGATTAATCTGAAAAGCACTCGGCGACCTAGCGATGCAGCTAGAGTGCCTGCCCCCAGCTCTGCCGGATGCCCCGGTACACAAGGCCCAGCGAGTGACCAATGAGAGCAACGAGGAGGAAGGAGACGGCCCTGCCTGCTGCTATGACGGCCGCCTTGAAGAGCGGCAGCAGCAGATCCGATATCTTCAATGCCACCACCACTAGCAGCTTCCTGTGTGGCAGATAAGGAAGGGGGGAGGGAGGGAAGGTGGAAGAAGTAATGAAGGCATGGGCAGGAGCAGCCTTGGGAGACTACCTTACCGGTACATGCCTCCCCATGCAGCCATTTCAATGGAAACATGCATGTCCACCACCTCAAGCCTGCCCACCACCCCATGCATGCCCACCCCGCCCTCCTCTCACCATCCTCTCAGCTGTCGCAGCTCCCCTTGTCTGCTGCCCACCACGGTGCGCCGCACCAGACCCACCGGGCCTCCCACCCTCGCCTGCTGTCCCTGCTCCCTCGCCCTCCTCTGCCCCTGCCACCACTGCCTTGTGCCACTTGCTGCCCTTATGCTCCCCTCCTCACCCACCCCACCCCCTGCCACCTGCACTTCAGCACCCATGCCTTAACTCCTGCTGCCCACACCACCTGTGCCGCTCGCCCTGCGTATTCTCAGCAGCCCCTGCAGCCAGCGCAGAGGGTTCCTTGCGGTGGCACAGTGGGCGCTGGTGAAGTCATCGGGGACAGAGACGGGGGGCACTTGGGACGTATGCTGCTGCTGTGATAAGGCTGGGTGGGCGACACGAGGCACGGGGAGGGGGGAGGAGCGGTGCAGCCCCCAGGGGAGGAAGCGGTCCTCAAAGATGGCCACCACCGATGTCACGTTGCGCCTCACCCACTTGTGCAGTGATACCTGGCGGGCAGAGGGTGGGGCGGGGAGAGGATTATAGGGGAATCGCGAGCGAGCGGGCGGACCATGGAGATCTGAATGAAGAATTGCGATGCAGCCACAGTGCAGTGCCATGCTTCTAGCAGCAAAACCCTCGGGAGAAAAAAGCCTGCCACATGGAAATTGAGAAGACAATTGTGCGAGGGGAGGAATTTTTTAGCAGGCGAGCTGGGGGTGAGAGGAGAAGGATAAAGGGAGGGGAGCAGCGGGGTTTGAGGGAGGGAGTGTGGGGGAGTCAAATGGTGTCGCGAGAATGCGTCCATACCAGCGACTCACCTCATTCCTGGACTTTTCGAATCGTCGAGAGGATCGATTCTCCTCTCGAAATAGGGAGAGCACATCACCCATGCTCACTCCTCCCCTGCCGCTGCCGCTGCCTCCCCTCCCCTGCCCTGTCCAACAACACTCGACGCCTCCCCATCCACCTCCCACCCTCCAATCCCCCCCTTCAGCCCCACCACCCCTGTCCCCCTGCTGCCACCGCTGTAGGCCCCCTCATAAGAGTCAAGTGAGTCAATGGAGTCAAAAGAGTCAAGGGAGTTAAGGGCACGCAGGGAGAGCCCCATCCAATCGCGGCTCCCCCCCCTGCTGGCCGCCTCCACCACGGCTAGCAGGGCCGCCTCCGCCATCTCCACCACCAAATCGTCCACCACCACCCGGGCTATGCGACTGGAGGGAGGTGGGGGGGAAGGGTTGGTGGGGAAGGGTAGCACAGATTCACAGGGTGCAGAGGGCAGTAAGGGACACCGCCACCTGTGCCGCCACCTATGCCGCCACCTGCCATTTCCACCACCAGCTCGTCCAACACCACCCGTGCTATGCGGCTGGGAGGGAAAGGGGGAAGGGACGGGGACGAGAGAGGGGAGAAGGGAAGGGGTATGATTTGGGTCAGGGGGGGAGTGACCTGTGGCGCCTCTGCCATCTCCACCACCAGATGCGCCATGGTTCCATCATCCATGTAAAGAGGGGAGTGGGGGGGAATGGGGAACAGAGTCGTGTGCGTCAATTGTGGCGTCTCCATCACATGTGGTGTGATACCGCCTTAGGCAACATTGTCCACCGCCCCACGCTGACAGGGTTGCCTGCGCCATCTCCACCCCCACCACACATCCCATGGCAAACTCAATCCCGCTAGGCATGAACGGGGAGGGGGGGAGAACCAGAACATCCTGCTTGGCATGAGATGTGCCTTGCTTGGTTGAGCCCCATGCCTCAGAGGCTGTGGACCAACACTTGGTTACGGGTGTGCTACAGCCAATGAAGCCGGTGCTACTGCTTATAAAAATGGATTCACGGCAGTCTCACCTGTCAGCCCTGCCATGCTCGTTAAATCGGAGGTGGGCCAGCAGGTGGCAGTAGAGCGCCCACCTGCCATCCTCCACTGCCCCCCTCACCGCCTCCCCTTGAACCCACGACTCCCTCCCCTGCCACTCCCCACCCGCAACCCCTTCCGCCTCGCTACCCCCTCCCCTCAACCCCTCCCGCTCCCCACCACTCCCCCCAGCCCCATCACCAACGGCAGCAGCCCCACCACTCTCCCCTGCTGCCACCTCGCCCCCTCGCTCCTCTCTTCTCTGGCCGCTGCCGCCCACCAGTTGTTTCTTCCACCTCCTGGCTGACGTCAGCACTGCCCGGCCAATCACGTCAGTGCAATACGTGGACCAGTCCGGTTGCGACAGCTGGCGCGCCTTGCTGTCGATCGCACTGGCCTTGGAAAGGGAGCGAGGGGTGGAGGGACGGATGGAGGGAAGTAAGGAACGGAGGAAGCGCTGCCACAGGGGGATGAATGGAGGAACGGAGTGGAGGAATGGATGAATGGAGGAATGGAGGAATGGGTGAATGGATGAATGGAGGAATGGAGGAATGGATGAATGGATGAATGGAGGAATGGAGGAATGGAGGAACGGAGGAATGGATGAATGGAGGAACGGAAGAACGGAGTGGAGGAATGGATGAATGGATGAATGGATGAATGGAGGAATGGAGGAATGGAGGAATGGATGAATGGATGAATAGAGGAATGGAGGAACGGAGGAATGGATGAATGGATAAATGGATGAACGGAGGAATGGAGGAACGGAGGAACGGAAGAAAGGAATGGAGGAACGGAGGAACGGAGGAATGGATGAATGGAGGAATGGAGGAATGGAGGAATGGAGGAACGGAGGAATGGAGGAATGGAGGAATGGAGGAATGGAGGAACGGAGGAAGGGATGGATGGAGGAATGGAGGAATGGATGAATGGATAAATGGAGGAATGGATGAATGGATGAATGGAGGAATGGAGGAATAGATGAATGGAGGAATGGAGGAATGGAGGAATGGAGGAATGGATGAATGGATGAATGGAGGAATGGAGGAATGGAGGAATGGAGGAATGGAGGAATGGAGGAATGGATGAATGGATGAATGGAGGAATGGAGGAATGGATGAATGGATGAATGGAGGAATGGAGGAATGGAGGAATGGATGAATGGATGAATGGAGGAATGGAGGAATGGAGGAATGGATGAATGGAGGAATGGATGAATGGAGGAATGGAGGAATGGAGGAATGGATGAATGGATGAATGGATGAATGGATGAATGGAGGAATGGAGGAATGGATGAATGGAGGAATGGAGGAATGGATGAATGGGTGAATGGAGGAATGGATGAATGGAGGAATGGAGGAATGGAGGAATGGATGAATGGAGGAATGGATGAATGGAGGAATGGATGAATGGAGGAATGGAGGAATGGAGGAATGGATGAATGGATGAATGGATGATGAATGGAGGAATGGATGAATGGAGGAATGGATGAATGGATGAATGGATGTGTTGAAATAACGGAACAGGAATGAATGGACTAGCAGTGAAAACAGTACAAGTACCTAACCCTAGAATTGTGTACCCCCTATAGGCTAACCCACTGTAGCCTAAACAAACACAACAACATATATAATGTTTGACACACCCCCATAGGCGAAGTGGGGGAGAACTAGGGGTCACAAGACCAGTCAAGGCAAAGCAAGACAAAACAAGCTCAGGGTGGATCTCAAGGATACCACACAAATTCCGAGCACAAGCAAGTGGTCACAAGACCAGTTCACATGCAGGTTTATAATAGAACAAGAGGTACAATGATCACAACCTAGCAAGAGTAAACATGCAGGTATGTATATATATAGAGATCACAGTACAAACAGACTCAAGAAGTAAGCAAGTAAGGTACAGTAGGCACAAGACCTAGAAGAGTGCAAAAGCGCTGATGGTCACAAGGCTGAAGCGCCTTGGTGAACACATCAGCAGTGTTGGCCTCAGAGGCCACGTAATGCAAACGAAGCTGGCCACGCTGCTGCACCTCTCGAGCAAGGAAGTAGCGCAGAGCAATGTGCTTCGTTTTGTGCTCCAGTCTGTGCTCGTGACACAAGGCAATGGCTGCCTTGTTGTCGACGTACAGCACTGGAGGAGAACGAGGCTGCTCTCCAAGGTCGGTCAGCAAGTAGGTGAGCCAACGTAGCTTCTGGGCCGCCATGGCTGTGGCGTAGATCTCAGCCTCACAACTGGAGCTGAGAACAGAAGAAGAGCGAGTAGAACGCCAAGAAACTGAACCATAGCCAAGACTGAAGGAGTAACCCTGAGACGACCGCTGAGTAGCCTGGTCGTCAGCCCAAGAAGCGTCTGAGTGCCCAGTGAGATCAATTGGGACTCGCCCTCCAAGCACTAGCCCCATGCCCGACGTACTCCACAAGTAGCGCAACACCCTCTTAGCTGCATCCATGTGCTCCTTCCAATGACGGCCGGGAGCGACATAGCGTGCAAGAATGCTAAGAGGGTATGCAAGGTCAGGTCGAGTGCAGGTCATCAGGTACATGAGGCAACCCACAAGCAATGGATACGGGCCACTCGGCTCTACAGACTCATCCGAAGGCAGAGCTGAGAGCGAGTGGCCGGTATGCAGAGGAGTGGGCTGAGGCGAGGAGTACGTGAAGCGGAAGCGCTGAAGGACCTGCTGCACCATGTGTGACTGAGTCAAGGTGATGGTGCGACGTGCTCTGTCACGGGTGATCCGCAAGCCAAGATAGCTTGTCAGTTCACCCAGGTCTGTGCACGTGTGTCTCTTCTTCAGCTCGGACTTCACGTGGGCGAGTGCCGCAGTGTCAGCAGTGGCAAAGACCAGGTCGTCGACGTACACGAGGATGTAGAACGGCGCCAGTGAGGTGTCGGTGCGTAGAAACAGCGACGGGTCAGCAGTAGAAGGCGCGAACCCAAGAGCCGCAAGTGTAGTCCTCAGTGTGTCGTGCCACTCACGTGGCGCCTGGAGGAGACCGTAGACTGGCCGTCAGAGGCTCCACTGGGTACCAGGAGGGAACGACCCAGTGAAGCCAGGTGGACGGCGCAGCCAGATCCACTCGTGCAGGCTGCCCTGTAGGAAAGCAGTGCTGAAGTCAAGAGAGTGGAGCTCGTAGTCACGCTGAGCGGCGACGTGCACTAGAACCCGAAGAGTGGTCATCTTCGGGGTCAGGGAGAAGGTTTGGAAGAAGTCAAATCCCTCTCGCTGACTGAAGCCTCGTGCAACGTAACGCGCCTTGAAGACAGGCGGAGAGCCCGGCGGCCGCTTCACCCTGAAAATCCACATGCCACTGACGATGTTCGCCCCAGGCGGGGGAACCTCATCGACGTAGGTGCCTGTGGACTTCCAGGAAGCCATCTCTGTGTCCATGGCCGACTGCCACTGAGAGGAGTAGGGACCGGCCATCGCTTCTGCGTAAGAGCGTGGGGTCAGGATGTCTGATGCATCCGGGTCTCCCTCAGGGGCAACAAGCATGGACACGAGATGGGGCAAAGCGGCAGCAAAGCACTCAAACTCCTCCTGCCTGTCCTCAAGGACGTCAGTGCCAAGAGCACACTCACCCCCGACGGACGGAGGACAGACAGACTCAGACTCAGCAACCAGGCTAGCAGCGTAGTCTAGACGACAGGTGGCAGCAAAGTCGACAAGCTCAGCAACTAAGGCAGACGCAGCAGCGGACTCAAAGGAAGGGTCAGTGACAACAGTAGCCAGGAGACGCACGACAGTAGGACTGGCAGCGCGAAGGGAGTCTGACCCCGGGTCAGCAAGAGCAGGAAGAGAGGAAGCAGGAGGAGACGGCAGTGGGACACGCTGTGGAGCAGTGGACGGACGAAGCGCCATCCGGTGAGTGCCGGGGACAGCAGGAAGACGCTGACGCGGGACACGACTACCAGTGAGAGCAGCACGGACAGGCGACACACGACAAGGCTCAGGCGACGCAGGACGAGACTCAGTCTCACGACGCTCAGTAAGACCTCCAGTCAGACCAGTGTAAGGAGCAGGACCGGGGAGAGAGGAGGCAGACGGTAGCTGCGATGGCAGCTGGGCAGACAGAGGACACCCTAAGGAGGGAGGAGGACACGGAGGAGGGAGCGGACCAAGAACCTGCTGAAGGAGCGGAACGAAGTACGGCCGCGGCCGTGCTGCGACACAAGAACCAGCAGAGACAGCCGCACCAGGGTCCTCAGCACGAGCAGCAGCTCTGACGCCCGGGTCCGCAGCACCAGCAGCATCGCCAACACCTGGGTCCTCAGCACCAGCAGCAGCTCCAACGCCCGTGTCCGCAGCACCAGCAGCAGCTCCAACACCCGGGTCCTCAGCACCAGCAGCAGCTCCAACGCCCTTGTCCGCAGCACCAGCAGCAGCTCCAACACCCGGGTCCTCAGCACCAGCAGCAGCTCCAACGCCCGGGTCCACAACACCAGCAGCAGCTCCAAACACCCGGGTCCTCAGCACCAGCAGCAGCACCAACGCCCGGGTTCGTAGCACCAGCAGCAGCACCAACACCCGAGTCCGCAGCACCAGCAGCAGCACCCACGGCAGCGGGGTCCGCGACACGAGGCGCGCCACTCCGAAGAGTGCAGCGCCGCTCGTACCACTCACGGATCCGCTCACGTGAGGGGAGCTCCCGACTAGGAGGAGAAGCACTAGCACCAGTCCCAGTAGCACGCCCGGCTCCAGAGGGACCTCTCCTGAGGCTGCAGTACTGTAAGTACCACTCACGCAGCTGCTCCGAGGAGAGGGCTCCCCCAAGTGTAGGACTCCCAGGCTCAGTACCTCCAGACTGAGAACCCCCAGACTCCGGACTCTGCTGCTCAGCACCCCGAAGCTCAGCACCCCCAGGCTCAGCACCCCCAGGCTCCGCACCCCCAGGCTCTGCACCCCCAGGCTCCGCACCCCCAGGCTCCGCACCCCCAGGCTCAGAACCCCCAGTCCTGGCACCCCCAGGCTCAGCACCCCCAGCAGGACGAGAGTCGACAGCTACCTCAACAGGCTCAACCGGGTCTACCTGAGACACACCTGAGGGAGCGGCACCCTGAGGGGGGAGGGGGTCTACAACAGCAGCACCTGGCGTGAGGAAGAGAGGCGGGGGGGGGAGCGGGGCAGTGCGATAGGGGAAGAGGCGGTAGTAGGGGACGGACTCGTCAAAAGTGACGTCCTGAGAGGGCAAGACTCGGCGCAAGGTGGCGTGGTAAAACTGCCAACCAGACGCGTCCGGGACAAAGCCGAGGAAGACGCAGGGAACAGCACGGGAGGAGAGTTTGTCCGCAGACGTATCGCGGACAAAAGCTTGAGATCCCCAGACTCGGAAACGCGACGCATCGCCAACCTCCCCCGTCCACAACAGTGTGGGCGAGGTCTCCGGCAAGGAGACACGGGGCAAGAGGTTGAGCTGATGCGCAGCGTACCGGACCGCAAACGGCCACAGAAAGTGGGGGGCAGCCGCATGGATCAAGGAGGTACGGACGACCTCCATGACCAGGCCAATGCGGCGCTCCGCAACCCCATTCTGCTGTGGAGAGGCCGGAAGCGTGAACGACTGCTCAATGTCGTGCTCAGCACAGTAGGCTGCCAAGAGGTCGGAGGAGAACTCACCACCTCTGTCAGAGTGCAAGCGCAGGACAGGAAAGTTCGAGTGGAAACGCTCGCTGAGCTGGAGACGGGCTCTGCGGATCCAAGGGATCAAGACATCAGGGACCTCACCCTTGGTGCGCAAGGGGAAGACCGAGGTGTAGCGCGAATAGTCGTCAACAACTATCTGGAAGTACCTCTCCTGACCCTGACCACGGACGCGGGCTGGGCCCCACACGTCCATGTGGAGCGTCTGCAAGGGAGCAGACGTCGGGGGAAACGAGGAGGAGTGAGGAGCGGCGCGCTGCCGTCCCTCGACACAGGGGAGACAGGTAGGAGCAGGTGAGGGAGGGAGGGGAGGAAGGACCCTGGGAAGGCCAGAGACAAGGTACCGGGAGTGCATGGCACGAAGCCGCTGCACAGACGGGTGGCCAAGGCGGTGGTGCCAGAGGACAGTCTCGTGGGCCATAGAGCGACACGAGCAGGGGGCCGACAGCTGACCAGACGCGGACGCAGACGCAGCAACCTGAGGGGACTCAGTGGTCAGTGTGTACAGGTCCAACCCCGGCTGCCGAGTGAAGGTAGCCAAGTGACGGCCCGTACGAGCACACGTACAGTGTGTCACGCGCTCGTAGGCAGGGGTGAACTGGTGAACACCCCCGTCCTGGAGTGCACATCCTGCCACCAAGTTTGTAGAGAACGAGGGGAGGTGGAGACTTGACAGTGTGCCCGACGGGACCGCAGGACAGGGAAGGACAGTGGAAGAGGTCGCAATGACCGGACCCCCAGAGGGGTCAGCAAGGGAGACAGCAACTGGCCGAGCAAGCGGCTCAAGGGCAGTGCGGTCATGAAAGAAGCAGCGAGAAGCACCTGAGTCTAGTGTGAAGGTGTGCAGTGCTGCAGTCGACTCAGTACCAAAGGGGGCAGACGCACAAGCACCTAGAGCAGCTGCCTCACCAGCACCTGGGGTAGCCGACACGCGAGTACCTGGAGCGGCAGACGCACTGGCCCTAATGCCCGGGTCGGGCGGCACACACAAGTACTCAGCACCCTCTCCACTTGTAGACATAACGTACATGGCAGATAGAATAGCATCAAAGTCTAGAGCATAGATATCAATCCCCTTCTTCAGGAGATCAAGCCAGCGGGCCAGCTCAGTGGCCTGAGGGAACTGAACACGCCAAGCGTCGTCGAGACGAGCGAAGCAGCGCTGTATGGCGTGCAGTCGTCCACAGTGCTGACCAGTGCGGTCACCAGTGCAAATGACGTACGTGCAGCTAAAGCCACCCCCCCCCCCCCCCCCCCCCCCCCCCCCGTGCAGAGAGTACCACTCACGGACCTCCTGGGGCGACGGAGTGTGCTGCTGGCCCTGGCCACCGCCAGCGCCTCCACGACCACCACCGCCGCCGCCACCTCCTCGACCACCCCAACCTCTGCCGCCGCCTCGTCCACCGCCACCCCAACCACCGCCTCCGCCCCTGCCACCTCCCCCGCCGCTGCCGCCACCACCCCCACCGCTGCCACTAGCCCCTCCAGTCGCGCCACCACCCCCACCGCCTCCACCGCCCCCACCACCGCCTCCCCCGCCGTCACCGCCACCACCCTTGCCCCCTTTGCCCTTGCCGCTGTGGCGCCCGCTCGAAGCAGACGCAGTACCGACCTTCTCAGCACCAAGGAGGTCGACAGCAGC